AAAACTCATAAACAAGTGTGGGACTACACTTTTCAAGGGTAGCATGAAGATCACGTGAAGCAAAGGGTAAATGAATTCTAAGGCTACTGTAACCACAGATTTACAGCAAGCTATGAAGTGGAAGAAGATGGAAATGATGAAGAAAAACTCAATGAAAGATTACCTTGATCATAGCTTAAGGTGGGCTTGATCTCATATGATGAGGGAGTACCATAAAAACTTCAAAATATGATCAAGGGAATGGTAAAGCTCAAGGTGTAAAGACTGGTGGGTGAAGGCTATGGAGGGATGGATCTCTCTCTCTCTCTTAGTTATTTTGCTTATGAAAATATGTTTCTCAAAGTTAAGGTTAAGTTGGACCTTATGATGGTATTTATATGAAGTGTGTACGTAGGACCCTTGATGCACATCAATGGCATATGAGAGGTTAAAATATCCTAGCCACTCATCCCCATCCACCGCTAGGATGAAGGGATGAGATTTTGCCACCATTATCACTCACTAAAACCTAAATCAAAGCCACATTACCATTTTTGTCCTTAACCCCATGGTTTAATTCCAAACTCATCCAAGTGTGCTTACATAAAAGCCCTTAATGTTTATTAAATCCGATAGAGTGTAGAGATTCTACAAGGACAAGGGCATTTTCGTAAAAAGTATCAATCACATGGGAAAGGTGAAAAGGGGTTATGACACCACCAATAGAATTAACTCAACCCACACCCTTCACATGGGCTTCACACCCTTCACATGGGTTACACCGATGGGAAAGTACTCATGATATGTTCACATAGCATATATCCCATGTGGATAATTGTTTTAAAAATAATTTTTTTTAATTTCAAAATTGCCTTGGTTTCACACAAGCCAAGCAAGTCACATGTGTGGCAATTAACCATGTGATTAAAATCCAACTTTAAGTCGTAACCATAAATAACAAAATATTATAAGGTTTGAATAAAAGGTAAGTGACCAAGTGCCACAAGGGCCCCAATGCATGGGGATCCACACCCAAACAAAAGGGGCCCAACGTGAGGGACCCAAGGTGCCATGTGGCAACCCTATGGCCACTCGGGTACCACATGGGATTCACATGGATGTCCTCACAAGGAATTTAGCCCAAACAATTTTGAAAATTACATTTTTGGTGATTTAAAAAATTCAAAAAAATCGTCAAAAATCCCAATTAATATTTGAAACATATTTATGCATATTTACATCATTTTTTTATTATAATTACATTGGACCAAAAGTATATGTGAGATTTCAAGGCTTTGACTCAGTAATGAGAGTACTCTATTGGGCTAGTCCTGAATGATGTTCCACCAGTGTCTTAAGTTGACCCAATAGACCTATGCTCCGCAGTTTATGGCAGGGATACATAATCACATCAAAGTTACTGAGACAGAGCTTCCCACCATCCGACTCTCAATGGATTACAGGTGCACCCCTGTGGGACATATTACTATTCTATTACAAGGGCCATCTCAAAGAACATGTGCCCTGGCTCTTCCAATGTTAAATAATACATTTGGAAGAGTGGATTCCTATGCAAATGATTTGTTTATATGCCATGGAATGGTCTCGTATTAGGCTACAGACTCATGTCTCTTAAGTCATGACCATTCCATACAAGGTCAGCTCTCATTTCAATCACTCAGGTTCTTTTACACTCGTATGGTTTCTCCGAGCCCAGGCTAGTCACATCAATTATGAGGCATCCTAACCTACATCGTCTTGACTCAGAAGTGACCCTCACACCTCTCTAAGAGATCACTCTCTCAAAATGCAAACTCTCAATGCCTCATAAATACACAGGGTATTAAAATCTGGGCCCCAGTTCGCAAAGCACTCAGATTCTGCATCTCACCCACTCCCACTGAGTGAGAGACTCTTGCCATTAAGGCCTTGAAAAGTCATATTGCCACTAGTAAGATGACATAAGCCTGAAACCCTAACATATATAGGTTGCTCACAGTATGTGCACTGGCAGTCACATTTTGAGAAGCCATTTTGATAAGGTAAGATCCACATATAAGAACTATGCATGCATGCTAAGAGAGGGGCCAAGCTCCCACAAGAGTGCATGTCCTTGGGGGGCACCTGTACTCCACTGAACAACCTTGGAGTCCATCCAACTATCAGTTAGCTTTGATAAGTCCACTCAAATCCAAACTAAAGTCTGTGATGCATAAGGGCTTGTTGGGTTGGTCTGAGAAATTGGATTGGGTTTCCGTGTCTAGACCAGTGGAGTACCACACAGCCCGACCTCCTATGGAACCGGGTTTTTCCACCCAGGATTTATGAGAATTGTCAAACCTTAATGTTTGATAAGAAATGATGAAAAATGTTTTATCATAATTTTATATGATTTTTGGGAATTTTATTTGCCAATGAAAATGCATTCACAAATTTGTTGTGTGCTAATTCCAATTAAGGACGTTCGCACATGTAGTGTGTGGCACACAAACGGCCAGTGTGTGCCCATGTGCATCCCATAGGTCAGCTATGTCATTACCCAATGGGCATAACATGGAAACCCTAAAACTAGATATGGGATCCTCGTATGGATATGATATAAAACATTGTTACGTATAATGTGTTTTATGGTATATATGTAAAGCACGTGTGAGTTCACATGTGGGAATGTAGAGATTCTATATTTCTCAAATTAATTTATCTCTTAATTATTTGATTGGATTATCTTTTAAATATTTAAAATGAAGGTTTCTAATTGGTGTGAAGGGGATAACAGGACAAAGCATGACACATGATGATGTCATGAATGTGACCGTTCACTAAGCTTTAGTATGAAGGAAAATTCACCATAAATAAACTTAATAGGTGGCACGCCACCCCTTTTTTGAATTTGAATAGGAGATATTTTATTAAGGGTTGTGATTTGGTGATTAAAAGATGAATGGTTGGGATTCATTTATTTTGAAAATTAGGGTTAAAGGGCACAAATAATATATTGTTGGAAATGTTGTGAAGCTTTTATTTGGGTATGGTGATAAGGGCGTACTCATTCATCACCATCCATGTGATAGCCATCAATGGTGATTGAATAAGCTAGGTCTTAAACCTCTCTCAACCCTTGGATCACTCTATGGGTGGTTTGAGATCTAATCTAAGATGTGTACCCCACATGAGAAGTATAAATAGGACCTCTTGCTCTTGGCTCAAAGCTTGTTAGTTCTTCATTTTGAACTCACAGCTCTTCTCCAAAAGGGCCTCACGCCCCACTCCTTGAGCTCTTCTCTAACCCACTTCAAAGGTCTTCTTTTGTGTTGCCTACCCATTTGATTGTTACTAGCCTATGACCCATGCTGAAGGCCTTATACTCTAAGCTTCATCTCACACCATCTATTGCATCATGGCTGCTGTTAAACCAAGTTTTGGCTGTTGTTATGCCTAGCAAATGTTGCTGGAAATTCTCATAACCCTCTTTGCTCTACCATCTCTAAGATCCTAAATAGACTCACCCCTTTCATGCTCTTCTCCCATGATGAAGTGTGATGTCTACCACTTCATCATGCACTTTTCTCAATCGAAGTTTGGTTGTTGTTGTGCCAATCAAATGCTGCTGAAATTTTATGACAACAGTAAGCAACTCTCTCTCATAAGTTTTCTTTTAATGTGGTTAAGCGTTAGAGAGATGAGGGCCTTTCGACTTGTGCTTTTGTAGATATAGTTTCCATGTTATCTTGTGCAAACTGTTGAGACTTTTATGTTGCTAGAAATGCTAGCATAAGAAGCATAACAGTGAGCTCTCCATTAGCTCCACGCACCAAACTTGACTTTTTGATGTCATAATGGTTTGGACCTTTGAATTAAATCCTAGGGCCGAAACTATTACTTTTCAAGCCCATTTTAGCTCTGAATTCTCCCCATTTGCTTCACATGGTCCTATGCCCAATCTTAAGTTGTTTTTGGGATCTATGTGAGTATGAGAAATATGTCATGCAGCAGTAAGATTTATTTGCATCCCGAGATTAGATCAAAACCGGACCCTTGTTCTATCGAGAGTGAATGATAGTCAAGAGTTTTAATTATACCGTTGCGGTGTTCGTACGGTAATTATGAAATTGGCCTCCCATTGGATACTTTAAGCTCATGCACGTTGTTTTTTTTTTTGTCTTTATTTTGTTCTATTTTATTTCATTTGAATTGTAAGAAAGTATTCTCAAATTATAAGGGCATACTTGTGTTTAAGACTATTGTAATTTTTTTTGTTATAGTGTGTAGTAAGTGGGGGTTTTCCCAATGTGAAATGAAAGATTGTATAAGTCTTTTGTAAATTTTTTATTTTACATACCTCATGTGATTCCCTCGATACTACTTCATATCTACTTCCATCTTAAATATATATTGAGCAATGAAGAAATCAGAGAGCATGAAAGTTAACAAGTGAAACTAAGTTGTGATAAGTTGATGCCAAAAAGATTGCTATTCTGACTTCCAACAAATTTAGATCATAGACATCCAACATGGAGAGTACACCTAATAAGTATATCTATTGTTAAAAGTATAAAGCAACAAGATACGTTCTAACACTGCAATTTCAGCAAGACAATCCTGTATACTAAAAATTTCTTGTTGAAATCTTGATTCAACTGTCAAATTGACCAATACTATAATTTTGCTGAGAAATGGCTAATACATTTTCAGTGCAGGTTGCAAAGGCACATCAAATTATGCATGTACACATAGCATTCTTCAGGATATCATAGAACAATTAATGAAGATTGCATGAATATAACGTAATGTTTTTGGTATAGGTAAAATCTTCTGGAACATGTTGATATTTACTTAAACCAGGAAGAAAGTCTATAGATGAGTCAAATTAAGCTTCTTAAGTTGTTTCTGACAGAACTTCAAGGAGATCGTAATATAAAAATCATTTAGAGTATATTGACATGAATAAGAAATTTTATTTTCATGAAACCTTATATGCATTGAGGGACCAAAGAAAACTGATCATAATATCTAGATCTTACCTGAATATTATTGCATTGGATTCAGATGCTTTCTTCCAGTCAACAAATATTGGCAAAGTCAGCAGATAGTCAGTGTTTAATGCAGATCTCAACTGTAAATCACGAACCGAAAGTTCTTCAAACTCCGCATTTCGTAGAAGTTTAATAAAAGTTCGCCGGAAGCGAGTTGCAACAGCTACTCTAAATAGAATTGCCTCCAATGAGAGAATTGTATGAAAGATATTAGCTCCAGCAAGACAAGCATAGCTCAATGATTATTATCTCATAATCACAGTTTGAAAGTAAATAAATTACTCACAATACCAAGTTTAAGCATAATATATCCTCTTCTAAGAGTCGATCTGAGGAAGCCTAGTCAGATATATCACAACATTACCCATTTAGATTCATAATAAGATGAACTATTAACCTTACTCCACAAGAGGACATCAAAACCCAGTGCAACAAAAGGGGATTGATTGTCAATAGAGAAACAACAACATGAAAGGATGCATGTTCCACCACTTGCAAGATCATCAGTAGATGACCATCTTTTCGTTTAAGGATGATATTATATTAAATAAATGAAGAAAGAGAATAAAAGAAACTTAAAGAGGACCTTGGGGGAAAAAAATAGAAAGGGCAATACATGAGTTATGAGTTATAACAACTTTAACATTGCTCATCGCTCACAAAAAAGAAGTATCCCAAAAAGCACTAAACAAAATTTTCTTTGTCGATCAAAGTGAATCAACAGATTAGCATTTGGGGATCAACTACATTGCATCCCATTCACATTCCCTAGGACCACAGACTCAGAGTCCTAACTCCTTACCATCATGTCTGAACCTACACTACCTCTTAATTCCTTAATAGCATTAATTCAAAAACCAGCCAAAACATTGTTAAGATCTATGAGTCTATAAGGTCAAACCACTTCATCAAACTGTATGCCTCCTTAAGTAATTGGGTTTTTCCAGCACAATTTTGAACATCTCAAACAACTATGAATTTTACCGTTGAATAAACCCATCACAGAATGTTTGAACCCAGAAGAAAGAAGCAAAAGAAATAATTCATAATGTGGACAGGCTATCCATAGAAGCACTTCCTTGAAGTTAGGTCTCAAACTATTCATGAGGTTCGTTATTCACCAGTGTTTTAAAATGCGGGATGCGGCCCGGATGCGGTGGGGGGCCGATGCGGCCCGGATGCGGGTGATCGCGATGATGTGGTCAATAAATGTAAACAAATTCTAAAAAATCTAAAAAAATAAGTTAATGCATAGAACAAAATATGACGGTGACATATATGATAGTAGGTATTTTAGTTTAATGATTATTTTCAAAACTATTAGCTGTCGGAGATTCTGTATCCAGTTATCCACTCATATAGGTATTTCCACAATGCAAACATATCACACAATTTCTATCTTTGGGATTTTTTAGTTTAGCATATTTCCAAGCCGGATCCTTATTACTAGAAGATTGGGAAGAAGACATTGCCCCAAAAATATGTATAACAGTAATATTGTACAAGAAGGAAAAAAAATTTACCGACTTTGTGAAGCACTGCTCGATTTCTTCACGACCTCTGAAAACCCCGATTTCTTATCACTAATTCACCCTAACATGTCCAAATCAACAATCAAAGGCATCTAATGAACATCCAAGTATCAAAAAACCGCTAAATCGAAGATTTCGATGAAAAACAAAATTCCTAACATTTGGATAGTCAAAAAGACCCTTTTACCCCTCCCCGAGGGGCAAAACAGAAAACAATTTCAGCAGATACTGGGATGCGGTGCGATGCAGCCTATGCGGGATGCGGTCTGATGCGGCCGCATCTGTCAAAAGCGCATATGCGCCTATTTCTTATGCGGATGCGAGCGCATCCCACATGATGCGGCCCCATTTTAAAACACTGTTATCCACTAAACAAGATTACCTTTCAGTTCCAGACCCAGTCCTCCAAAACCAAACGTACTCCACCAGGTACCATAATTACAACCCAAATGTTACGTAACATTTTCCTCAAAGCCTCAGAGACCTTCCAATTCTAAGTTGCAATGCATGTATCATAAACCATGATGCCTCTCTAAGTTATTTACCAAGAAAAATGGAAGGACAACCTCCATCACTGCTCAACAATCTTCATCTAGGACAATTAGCTCTAGCATCCTCTCCAAACTCTCTTGGAAATAAAGATAAAACAAGATTCTCAAGCTATCCTTTATGTGATGCTTCTCAAGGAGACTTAGGGTATTCGACAAGCTGGTGGTGATTGATTCTAACCATCTATAGCTCACATGAAAAACCAGTTGCTTTTTTGAGACAACACGAAGGTCACTAGTCAAGGAAACGTGTGAGCAAGAAATAAAGGAAAGTTAGTGAATCTTGCATTGGGGAACTTTTAAGTGCACGAGAAATAACGCACAACGAGACAACAAAATTGAAGAAAGATGTACCTCCATGATGCAAGAGCACGTAGAAACCCCCTTAAAGAAGAGTTGAAGCAACTTTGGAAAGACCCCACAATGAACTCGAGGTCGAGTCTTTTCGAGAAGGGGTGAATGATGCAGTACCCAATCAAGGCATGCTCCTATTCGACACTCTTACTCAGCACCAAGGTGGATGCTCTATTAGTGCGCGTGCATGTGCATTGGAAAAATGGTTAAGTGTGCATGACATTTATTATATTTTTTTGCTTTAGAACGTTTGTATGGGAAATAGGTTGCATGCATGAAAACTAATGTATTTTTGTTCGGAAAACTCATATAGGAACTTGATTTGCATGTGCATGTGCATGTGGTTTCCATGGGAACTAGATTTATGAAAACTTGAAAATCCTCACAATGAACTCGAGGGGTAACTTTGGAAAGACCTCACAATGAACTCGAGGTCGAGTACCTTTTAAGAATGGGTGATTGATACAGTGCCCAGCTATGGCATGGTCACTCAGCACCAAGTTGGATGCTCAGTTAGTGCACATGCATGTGCACTAACTGAAAAATGGTTAAATATGCATGATATGTAATTCTTTTGCTTTGGGAATGTTTGTATAGGAAACAGGTTGCATGCCTGAAAATTAATACATTTTTCGTTGGAAAAACTCACATAAGAACTTGAGTTGTGTGCACGTAGATTCCATGGGAACTAGGATTGCATTAGAATAGTTGTTGCATGGGTCATAGGTTTGTTTTGCATGTAATAATTGTTTTAAGAGTTTCAAAGGTGGGTTTTGGTCTTCCAATGTATAGGGACTTGATTAGGGGGTCCTTGGATGCATGTAGACTTATGTTTTGAGTTTATAAAAGTGTTATACCATGGTTAAAGAGAGACGACGAATTTTGAATGAAATTATTGTTGGATGCGAGCATTTTTCTGTTACTCCTGGAGTAGAGTGAATCCTCCTACTAGGAGTTGGGTGATTCCTCCTTCCTGGTGTGAGGAATTCCACCCTACCCAGCTAGTTGAGTAATTTTAAGCAACATCTTGCAGGCACGAGCCTGCATCACTCCACCTGGATACAGACAAATGGAGACATATACCATGCATGTGCATCTTTTATAGAGAAAGAATACGATATAATTCAGACTCTGTATATGTTTCTGCCTATTAAACAACATACCCACACTCGATAACAAAAACCATTAAAGCTTTTACAACCAATAATAATAGGTACTATTACTGAAAGAACGACTACACACTCCATGAAAGACAATGTCACTAACCTTGACTCCCCAACACGGGATCTGTCACATGAAAGTGTCAATAATCCAAATTCATCTATTTCTTGCTCGTTTGCTTGATTTTGAGCAAATATATTTCTTCTGATGCCAAGAAAATCAAGCCCCAAATGCCGCCCATTTGGAAAAGTCTGATCCTCCAATTGGCTGATAAAGCGTTCCTTATAAATTTCTTCTCTTCTAGTGCCCTCCTGCAAATGGGTAAGGCTATAGTCAAGTCGCATCTCAACGAGAATTCCCTTGTGCTCAGCATGAATAATGGAGTCTAAACACCTGCATTCACAAGGATCACAACAATTGCCAAATCTCCGCTTCACATACAACAACTGTGCAATATGCACAGCTTGATCCTTGACGAAAAAACTTACAATAAAATGCAATTGAAACTACAAATACCGTACACTCAAACAAATAAAATTATGAAAAATAGGAAAATAATAATAAAATAACATAAATTGACACAAAGACTCGCTTGGACTTTGGAGAACATATACAATAGATCATTTTCATAGAAATAAACCAAATGTTCCAGACAGAATCAACAATTTGTTTCTTTAGCGCTTCTCAAATGATAATTCCACCATTGCTCACAAAACAAACACAAGAAAACTCCAAAAAACAAAAAGAAGACTGAAACAACTAGAACACATGTTTTTCATGGAGGATAAAAAACAACTTTCATAGATCAAGAGAAATAGTAAATGGGTCATTGGACTTGGTACCAAAAGAATTAAGAATATCAACATGTCCCTAATAGCTAAACTCGCATGGGAAATTTTTTTTTTTTTTGATGAAATGTTTAACTACTTGCATGGGAATTTGTTAGTGAAAGATAATCCTTGTGGTCGGATTTAATGAGAAAAAACTACCTTTGGAGACACCATATATGGACCTCTAGAGTTGTAAGGAGAGGATATTAAGCTTGGAAATATACACATGAAATACTACTCTGATCAAGAGACATAGCCAATCGCAAGTGAGATGATTCCAATATCAACTTTTTGACCTTTGACTCAATGAAGGGCATTTCATGAATTGTTTGAGTAGGAAATTATAATGGATTTGGGGCTTGAAAGAACCATTATCATTTCTAAATTTGGTATGAGAATGGGCCAACTCTCCCGCCTCCTACAGGCAGGAAACAATCAAGAACTTGGAGTCTAATTGAAGAAGTAGCCTACCAGCAAAATGTGATTGAGAATAGGCTCACACAACACATTGATAGCCATATGGGAAAAACCAACCACCTTAGGGCCTCTTGGTTCACATGATCAGCCTATGGAAAGAGGCTAATTACCATAGATAGAATTCAAAGATGGATCTCCAATGGGGTAATATGTATGGCTGATAGCGAGCGCCAAGACCACATCTTCACCGCATGCGGATTTATCTTGTGGAGATTCAGCGTCAATTGCTATATCTGGCAAAAGTATCCAAAGCCTCCTAAAAAACTATGTCCCAAGTAAATTCACCAACAAGTACCTAGTCAAGCTATGCCGAGTTTCTGTCCCAGTATAATCCAGGTCACCAAGCAAGAAGGAAATAGGAGGGCCAAAGAGCACCACAATTAATCTCTCCAAGGATTACTAAGGGAGGTAAAACGGAAGATTAGAAATAGTAACCTGGAAACAATGATAGCCCCATCAATGAATGTACCAGTAAGAATCATTCATAGAAGATGGCAAATTGGACATCTCAAACAACCTTGAGTGGCTAGGAACATAGTGTATATGTCGTGAGGACCCTATCTACACAGAGAGAGTGTTGACAAATGTAATTGGTACTTCTTCTACATATGTTCATACATTAATACAATGGATGGGATGCCCACCGAAGAACCTCGCTAGCTTCGCTGAGAGAGAGAGAGAGAGAGAGAGAGAGAGAGAGAGATTTAGAAAAAGAAAGAATGAAACAAAAAACTTACGATGACAAGCGAAGAAACTCGTCAATTTCCTTCTGAGAGTCAAACATGGAAAGAATTCCTCCCAAAAGAGTCCTCTTTGATACTGGAACATACCGCTGCCTAGGCACTGGAATTCCTGAAATGTTCCTCTCTCCTCCATCTGAATTCGGCTCAACACCACCAGTTTTTAATTCTGAGGGTTTAGAGAGAGGATCTGTGGATGATGGTTTGGGGACAGAATCAGAGGGCGAAGATTTAGAGAGCGATTCAGAGGACGAGAGTCTAGGGAGCGCTTCAGAGGGCGAGGGTCTAGAGAGAGATTCAGAGGGCGAGGTATTGCAGAGGGAAGCAGACGGAGAGAGCTTATACAGAGAATTGGAGGGTTTAGAGTGAAGATATGAAGAAGCTCCCTGAGAATTCAAGGAGACGTGAATGATAGAAGGGCTATGGAAGAGACGACGGCGATGAGGATGAGGATGAGGATGAGGATGATGGGTGGAGAAGAGACAGTGATGGAGATGATGGTAAAGAGAATTCATGGGAGCAAGGAACTGGGCTTAGCTCTCCTTGTTGTGGATTTTGAAGCGAGTAACGAGCGGTTTTAGAGCGGGAGATGGGGTTTATCCGGAGGGCGAGATAACTTTGTCATTTCATTTTCTTAAGTACAATGTAAGGTCCTGCACGTAAAGATTCGACGCATGGCAAAATCGAAGTGAACTGTCAACCGGATGTGGCCCTGGAAACGGTTTTAACGGGCATTATCGGTAAATCGGCCGATTCTATCGATATAACTGGAAAAATTCTTGGTGGTCAAAAAAATTATTAAAAAAATTATAAAAATATAAAAAAATCTACTAAAATAAAAAAAACTTATAAAAAATGATTAAAACAAAAAATGTTCAAATGAAGTTGAAAATTAATGAAAAAATAGATTTTAACCCATTTTATATTTTTTAATGGCTATTTTTAAAAAAATTAAAAAAAATAGAAACATATAAAAGTGAGTTTTAGTGACCAAAACAATTTTAATCTTTACTCTAATATAAAGAATATTTAAAAATGTATTACAAATTGAATTTCTTATTTTTGAGAATTTATAAAAATAAATAAATTTTTAAATACCGGTTGATCTAACGAGACGATTAGCGGTTATATCTGACGATTTTGTGAACAATACACATGGACCTCTGTCAATTTTTATTTTATTTTTTAAATTATAAATACCCAAAAATCAACTTTGTTGACATCCTAACTCCCGGTACTTTTCCAAATTAGGATTGTACACTTTTGAAGGGTCAATTAGCAAATTACATACACTTCTATGGGGTTTTTGTGGGGTCAATTACTGAATGAAATGTCATTTGTTCCAAATTATGAGCACCACCTCCCCCGTGTTTTGTTTAATTAAATTGTTTTTTTGGTCGGCTCTCTTCACTCCCGCCCAAACTCTCCCATGCCTCTCGCTCCCCCCTTTCTCTCTCTCTATCGCCTCTCCTCTCGTTCACCCCTCTCTCAATCTCTCGGTCACCTTCGCTGCCCCTCTTAACTAAAGGATCGTCTCTCTCCCTCACCGACACTTGTAGCGCCCAAAATCTCTCCATCAACCTCTTTTTAGAAGTTTTTCAAAGTTCTTTGTTCATATGTGAGAGGAGAGGAACACAAATTCTCAGATATTTTGTCTTTGTCAAACTGTTGGGCTTGAAATTTAGTCCAATGAAATGAAAAACTTGCCAAATCCTTTGAATTTGGGCAAATTTCAGTTCAAAAATTTGAGAAAAAAAGTAAAAGCAGAGAACCCCATATGCAATTCTAAAAAATATAAATGCACAAACGATTGTAAGTCTGGTTTAAACCAAAAATATTATAGAGGATCTGC